TGAACAGATTGATGCAGGGATATATAAAGGGTTTTTATGGATTTTTTTTACAGTGTAAGGACGACCGCACTGAGCATGCTCAGTTCTCCTGCGGTTCAATCAGTGATGTGATGTCATCCGAGCTGCTGTGAACCACTGTTTTTATCCATTAAGCATAATCAATCATCACACACACTGTTGAGGTGACATCATGTGGATGTTACTGCGGCTCAGTTTAATTGTTTCTCACGTCTGAGACTCTGGATTCAGTTCATCTTGTCTGAGAGTAGAACCCAGAGACCAGGTCTCAGTCTGAGGTTCTTCAGTCTGTGGTTCTGCAGTCTGTGGTTCTGCAGTCTGTGGTTCTTCAGTCTGTGGTTCTTCAGTCTGAAGTTCTTCAGTCTGTGGTTCTTCAGTCTGTGTTTCTTCAGTCTGTGGTTCTGCAGTCTGAAGTTCTTCAGTCTGTGGTTCTGCAGTCTGTGGTTCTTCAGTCTGAGGTTCTTCAGTCTGTGGTTCTGCAGTCTGTGGTTCTTCAGTCTGTGGTTCTTCAGTCTGTGGTTCTTCAGTCTGTGGTTCTGCAGTCTGTGGTTCTGCAATCTGTGGTTCTGCAATCTGTGGTTCTTCAGTCTGTGGTTCCAAAGTCTGTGGTTCCAAAGTCTGAGGTTCTTTCCTCGACACATCAGCTTCCAGACTTTTTTCCATGACCTTTTCCAGGTGCATGATGACCTGTTATTTCCATGTGTGAGCAGCATTGTGATGGTGTGTTGTACTGGTGTTCAGATTGTGTGTGTGTGTGTGTGTGTGTGTGTGTGTGCGTGCGTGCGTGCGTGCGTGCGTGCGTGCGTGCGTGCGGCTCAGAACACACACAGAGTGCAGTCTGTATTATTCATGTGGTTGTGGAGTTCACAGCAATGACAAGTAACATGAAGCGACACAGAGAATAACCTGATGAATAAAACAGGGGGTTGTTGTGGGGGGGGGCAGAGCTTCACTGAAGCTTGTTGCGTAGCAGGAAATGAACCAGCAGAGGTCTGTCCCTCCATCATTAGTTCATCCTGATGAGAACATGAACCTCGTTTCATCACAGTCATCAGACTGATTCAGGTCATATCACCTGAACTAACGAACTGATCTGAGGTCAGTTCATGAGTCCCGTTATAATCTGTCTTTGAACTGATCAAATGTCAAACATCAAGCTCGACACGAGGCTGTGGATTGGCTCGGTGACCTTATCACCAGCCGCTGATACAGAGCGAGGAGCCTCGGATCTGTCAGGACCAGATACCTGAACACGAAATACAGACAGGAAGCAGGTCTGAGGTCTGGACCTGCAGCTCAGGGTTTTCTTTATCATCACACGTCTTTCCATCCACATGCTTTTATTCACATTTTCTGTTTAAATCACTGTGAGACACTCCATTGATCTACTTGTCACACTGACCTTTGACCTTTAGCCACCAAAGTCTGATCAGTTCATCCTTGAGTCCAAGTGAATGTTTGTTAGTGAATGTAATTAATAAGAGGTTACGGAGATATCACGTTTGCAAGGCCAAAACTTTGTTCTGTGAGGTCACTACGACATTGACCTTTGACCCCCAAAGTCTAATGTCTTCATCTTTGTGTCATAGTGAATGTTTGTGCCGAGTTTGAAGAAGTTCTGTCAAGGTGTTCCTGAAATATCGTGTCCACGAGACGTACAGACGGACAACCTGAAAACAAAATGGCTGCTCTGACTGTCGCTGCGGGGAAGGAATAAAAACACTGGGCTCAGGGTGTATTCCCTGTTTACATCCCTCAAAGCATTATGGGAACTGTAGTTTCAAAACAGCGGAATAAAAGGTGTAGTTTTAATATTTTTTAATGCTCTTCAGGTGGAGAGTTCAACATGTCACCTGCTGGTCGTACCTGGCACTTTTCTCACCTGTGTTGGTTGGTCTTGTGTCTCTTACCTGACGGACATCAGCTGATCGGAGTGAGTCTGGCCTCCGCAGATTATCCTGCTGCTACATGAATAAACACAGTAGAAAGAACAACAGCAGTGAACAGCAGTTTAATGTGGGTCAGCTGACGGTTCACTGAAGGTCTGACCCACAACACACTGACAACCTGCGGGGGAGGGGGGGGTGTTTTGGTGAATCTGTTTTGGCAGAGGAAATCCTCCTGAGTGATGGTGGGGGGGGGGTTAAAACCCCCCCTCCTCTGTCCATCTCTTATTGATGTTGAGCTGATGAATATTTGAAGGCGCCCAGAGCTGAGAGACGTCACGTGGCGCGCAGAGCGACAGTGTGGACAGGAGGCCGTGCACGGTCTGTGCTTTAAAACAGCTGTAATGTTTTTACACCAGGATAAATGACAGAGTGAAAACTAGACGGTGAAGCTACAGACCGTCAGAGAGCAGCTGCTGAACATGGTGGAGACCAAACACAGAGAGAAAAGACTGAGACTGATCAGGTGACACAAACATCTGGGACTGACAAACAGCTGGCTGTACATTTACTCCACATCTGTCCTTAAAATACAGTTGATGTATTTTTACTTTGATACATTTTTATGTTAAAGCTTCAGATTATTGATATATGAAACATAATCATCCAATAAATGATGGTGCAACAAATATATTTTCTTCTTCTGTGTTTTATTTGAAGTGTTGATCCATCAGAAGATATAAAAACCATCTCAGTGTAGTTTTACATCTCCTCTCTCAGGCTTCTCTCTGGAGCTCTAGTAACAACAGGTCGGTGAGCCAATCAGAAGAGAGGAGGCTCTGAGCCTCTCTTCTGATTGGCTGACTGTTTTCTGAGTGATCCAATAAAAATATAGCAGATACCAGGTAAAAACACTCAGAGAAACCAAATCCTGCAAGGTTTGGATGGTGGGTCCAGGTGGGCGGGGCTTGGTGACTGCTTAGTTGTGACATCACAAAGTTCCAGAAGTCCTGACGGCTGGTTTTAAGGCTCAGTTTCTGAATACAGGCTGTGTGCATTTCTCTGTGGACTGAGGCTTTGATACTTTCACAGTATTAATATAGAAGCTAGAGCTGATCTATAATCACACTACACATGGACACAGACCTTTACACTGGAGGAGCTTTAAACATCACAATAGTTGTAATAACAAACATTAAATCAACAGTGCGGCCTGAGGTTCCTGCACTGAGCAGAGATCACTGATGACCTGGATCCACTAAACCTCCAGGGCGACCCCCTGAAAACCTCCTGATCCCGCTCTCAGTAATCTGTCCACGCTCTGATAAAACCTGCTCTGAAGATTTGAATATTTGTCACAGTTTAATCTGTGGACTTTCAAATCCTCGCAGCCGTGGAAACAAAAGCCTCCAGGAGGTTAATTCTGACTGTGATGAGGTAGGGAGGGGGAGAGGGTGGGGGCTGGGGGGGCTGTGTGACATCACTGAGGACCTCTTTACTTCTGCTGATCTGAGACCAGCGGAGGACATTACAGAGGATGTGTGGGAGTCGAGCAGCTCGTATCTTAACGAGATCTACTGAGTGTTTGTAAGATTAATGTTTGTTTGAAGGATTAAGACTTTAAAGATGGGGGTGGGGGGGGGGGGGGCAGGTGCATTAATCCCTGTGAAATTATAGTGAGCAGCTCTGGAGGATTTCATGGTTCTGACACTCTGCTCCTCTTCAGACGTTAAAAAGATGAACCTGAACCTCAACGTTTGAAGCTTCAGAGATTCAGAGAGAAGGTTTGAATGTTCAGTATTTAGTATAAAACCTCTAAGAATCAGAGACCCGGGTTCAGGATCAGCTGATCCAGGTTCAGGATCAGAGAGATGAAGTCCAGGTGACATCGTTCATACACCGTCAGTGTTAATCTAATGATTCAAAACTTTATGAATGAAAAGCTTTTGAAGAAGAGACTCAGATCCATCAGGTCTGGACTCAGGTCCAGTGAGTCTCAGACCTCCAGAGGTGGTTCCGGTCCGTCAGGTTCCAGTGACAGGAAGTGTCACGACGAGTAGTGACAGGGAGCATGTGGCCCCTCCCACCAGTTACCTGTACCACACAGGAAGCTGCTCCAGGTGAAGCTGGGCGTCGCCCAGGTGTGTTTCTGTTTTTGTCAAGATCAAAAATGCTCAGGTCCGCACCTGTGTCACACACACACACACACACTCACACACACACACCTGACAGTCACATTCAGAACACTTTGATTCCTCCACGCCGCCGACAGTCAGAGTGGCAGCCATTTTGTTTTCAGGTTGTCCGATATCTCAGTAACACCTGGAGGGAACTTCTTGACACAAACCTTCACCTGGACTCAAGGATGAACTGATTAGATTTTGGGGGTCAAACTTCAAAGGTCAAGGTCACGGTGACCTCTGTATAAACAGGGATGTAATGGGTTAAAGACTGGGACTGTCACTGAAGCTGAGGTGATGGTGAGCAGACACATGGAGATGAGTCTCCTGTTTGCTGTGTTTGTGTGTGTGTGTTTGTGTGTGTGTGTGTGTGTGTGTGTGACGGTGAGGTGCAGGCTGGGTAATAAATAACCAGGAGCTGCTGCAGGACGCAGGACACCGCTAACCTTCAGTGTCAGGAAGCTGCTGAGAGGCCATCTGGAGCTGGAACAGGACACCAACCCCCCCACTGTGTGTGTGTGTGTGTGTGTGTGTGTGTGTGAGAGTCTATTTAAGATGCAGTGATGCTGCCAGAGTTATTTGGAGCATCATTTGCCTCCTGTTGAGTTGAGAGCTGTCAGAGTGTGTGTTTGCTTTGTCTGCTCAGACAAAACAAACACACACACACACAGGAAGGAGGTTTCACTTCAAAATAAGACGACCTCATACAGTCACATAACGTGTCCTAATGTGCTGTGGACTCACCAGTCTCCTGTCTGTCATGAAACCAGTGTTTGTTTTTAAAGGTGTGTGTGTGTGTGTGTGTGTGTGTGTGTGTGTGTGTGTGTGTGTGTGTGTGTGTGTGTGTGTGTGTGTGTGTGTGTGTGTGTGTGTGTGTGTGTGTGTGATAACAGCCTGTTGTCTCCTGTGTCTGCAGGTGTGAACGTGCTGGTGGCTCCCAGGTGGCCTGTAGAGAAGGTGAGTCGAGCTGCAGCTGTGGCAGCGTCTCCTCACTCTGCTCCAGCACAGGAGACAGACGGGGGGACAGCGACCCCCAGAGGCCGGTCGCTGCATCACAACTACAGCCTCTACTGTGTGTGTGTGTGTGTGTGTGTGATAACAGCCTGTTGTCTCCTGTGTCTGCAGGTGTGAACGTGCTGGTGGCTCCCAGGTGGCCTGTAGAGAAGGTGAGTCGAGCTGCAGCTGTGGCAGCGTCTCCTCACTCTGCTCCAGCACAGGAGACAGACGGGGGGACAGCGACCCCCAGAGGCCGGTCGCTGCATCACAACTACAGCCTCTACACATGGTCCCTGGTGACGGGCTCAGCTGGTTTTACTCTCCTGACAAACAGCCTCACGTCATGGAAGTAAAAGCTGACTGAGATTCTAATCCTAATATCAATCAATCAATCAATCAATCAGTCAGTCAATACAAACAATGTAACACAAAGTGCTTTACAGAATAAAAGCAATAAATCAAACCCACCCGCTCACACACACAAATATAAATAATAGATAATTATAAATTTGCACTGAGGAAACACTGAAGACTGGAGCAAAGATAACAAGTGATAAGATGAAATAATAAAATGCTAAAAGAGAGGAAATGTATGAAAGTTAGTACAACCAGAAATAAAAGTATTAAAAGGAAAACGATCCGGAAAATAATCATAGAATAAAAGGACATATCAGTAAAACAGCTTAAAAATATAAATATATATATATATATATGTATTTATATATTCTATTTATTTATTTATACATAGAGAGGTTCTGTGAAAAAAAAGTATATATCATATATACATAATAAAATAAAAAATAGAAAATGTGTGTCACTGCCACACACACATTTTTTATTCTATGTTTTTGGCTCAGAGAGATGGGATATATGACTTCCTGAAGACCAGTCATGATTTCCATAAACAAGTGAAATAAAGTGACTGAAACAGACGAACACCATCAGCCAGGTGTGAAGAGACGTCTCTGTCCACCCTGAGTCTGCTTCTGTTCCAGGTTTCTACCTGTTGAAGGACGTGTTTCCTCTTCACTGCCACCAGGTGCTGCTGATGAGAGACTGTTGGTCTCTGTAAATAACACTGACCTGCTCTACATGAAAACTTCTGATCCAGAGCTGTATCAGTACAAACTGACTGAGGCAGATTTTACAGCAGCGAGAACAACTGAAGAAAACCCAGAGTGAAGCTCAGAGCACTGCAACGTAAGAAAACACAAATAAACTCAAACATCTCCATCGGTCTGACACCAGCTGCAAATACTCACAACACACAGGAAGTGTTTCCAGGGGACACTAAAAAGTGATGAACCAGGCTGGGACACACGTGTTCAGTTGTGACCTTTGAATTCAAAAGAATTGAACAACAAGTGCACATGGGTGTGTTATAATACATGTGTTATAATATCATAATACATGTGTTATAACACATATTATAATACATCCATGCAAGTGTGTTCCAGCTGGGTCCATCATTGGATGAACACTTCCTGTTGTGTATTTGCTCATGTGTCAGACTGATGGAGATGTTTTCTGAATTTGTTTGTTTTTTTAAGCTGCAGTGTTTTGAGCTTCAGGGCCACCGTAGTTTCATTTACATCAGTGAGCTGAGAGTGATTTACACTGTTCTATGAGCTGAAGATAAATCAGCTGATTGTAGCCTGAGATCGTCTCTATACACAAATACAATCCAGTGAAGATGGAGAATTATTCCGTCATTCAAAACCTGAAGGAAACAGGAAGGAAACAATAAAAATAAATAAATAAAAATAAAAACTAATGATTTTCCCGCCTCACTGACCTGTGGTCGACTGTCTCTATTTCAGGACATGGAGAGCGACGGAGTCTCAGCTGCAGAGCAGAGTGACGGAGGTGACGGAGGTGACGGAGGTGACGGAGGTGACGGCGTGAGGTCAGAGGTCTTTGACCTCAGACCGCAGCAGGCGTCTGCCTCTGCCTCCGAGTTCGACGACTCTGCGGTTGTGTCCAAACAGCCGGTCACCAAACGTCACAGGAAGCTGCTTCTGAAGAGCAGCCTCGCCGCCTCCAGCGCCTCCGCGTGTGGGGAGGAGGAGCAGCAGCTGAAGCTGGCCAGGACACAGGAATCCCGCCGCCGCCTGCTGAGCGAAGTCTGTACCAAATACCACCCGGGCGTCACAGAACAGCCGGTCTCTCAGCGTCAGGTGTCGCGGGTTTACGTGGAGGACCGGTCCCGGCTGCTGTACTGCGAGGTGCCCAAAGCCGGCTGCTCCAACTGGAAACGGGTCCTGATGGTACTGGGCGGCAGCGCCTCCTCCACCAGAGACATACCTCACGACGCGGCACATTACGCCAACCACCTGCGGCGGCTGGAGAGCTACGACCGCGCTGGCATCACAGAGAGACTCCGCTCCTACACCAAGGTGCTGTTCGTCAGGGAGCCCTTCGAGCGCCTGGTGTCAGCCTTTCGGGACAAGTTTGAGAGTCCGAACTCGTACTACCACCCCGTGTTCGGACGCCCCATCATCTCCAGATACCGCACCAATGCTACGCGCACCGCACTGCGCACTGGCGCCGGCGTCACCTTCAGGGAGTTCGTCCAGTACCTGTTGGATGTGCATCGGCCGGTGGGGATGGACATCCACTGGGAGCCGGTCAGTCAGCTGTGTAACCCCTGCCTCCTCAGCTACAACTTCATCGGGAAGTTCGAGAGTCTGGAGGAAGAAGCCAACTTCCTGCTGCAGAGCGTGGGCGCGCCCAGGAACCTCACCTTCCCCGCTTTCAAAGACAGGAACCCCCTGGCTGAGAGGACTTCCTCCATAATCACCCAGAAATACTTCTCACAGCTCAACGCCACGGAGCGGCAGAAGGCCTTCGACTTCTACTACATGGACTACCTGATGTTCAACTACCCCAAACCCTTCAAAGACCTGCACTGAGCATCAGGCACGAACCATAATGCACTGCAGCGCTGCCATGTTGAACACAGCGGACAGTCAGAGCTGAGCTCTGGGTGATGACAGGAACATGGCTGCAGGATGTTTTAATGCTGCAGTCACTGAGACTGAGACTGATGTTTCTGGGTCCAGATGTTTTCCCCGATCAAGGTGTTTTCTTCTGGGTTTTAAATCTTTCTGTCGTGATGCAGTTTCATGTTTCATCAGACCGCTTTGTTTGTCAAACCATTTCAAACAGGAAGTGACAGTTTTTATAGAAATCAATGTCCAGATTAACGCCTGAACACCAGCTGTGTCCACATGACGTCCACGTGACGTCCACATGACGTCCACTCAGGTTGTTTATTTATGTGTTTGTTTTATCAGATTTTTTACGGTGACATCTTGAGATGTTTTGTTTTGTCCGACCAACAGTTCAGTCAGTTCACTGTCACATGAGTCAGAAGAAGCACAAAAGACACTTTGGATAAGTTGTGAATTATTCTTCGACAGAACTGCACATAAACCTATCAGACAAGCTAACGTTTTACAAAAGCTAACGCTGATAGTGAAAGTAATCTTAACAGAGAAGCTAAGGTTCACAGAAGCTAATGTTCACAGAGAAGCTAACTTTTGCAGAAAAGCTAACTTTTGCAGAGAAGCTAACTTTTGCAGAGAAGCTAATGTTTTACAGAAGCTAACATTCACCTAGAAGCTAACTTTTGCAGAGAAGCTAACATTCACAGAGAAGCTAATTTTTGCAGAGAAGCTAACGTTCACTGGGAAGCTAATGTTTTACAGAAGCTAATGTTCACCTAGAAGCTAACTTTTGCAGAGAAGCTAACATTCACAGAGAAGCTAATGTTCACTGAGAAGCTAATGTTTTACAGAAGCTAACGTTCACTGGGAAGCTAACATGCTCATCTTCCATGTTTACACTCACATCACAAACTAACAGTGTCCAGACACAAACACAAGACTCAGACTTCTCCTTTGTTCATCTTCAGATGAGCTTCAGGAAGAGACTCAGCTGGGACTGAACTGTCGTCTCCTGATGAGACATGTGGACAGGTGACACAGCTGGTGGACAGGTGAGGATCTCTGTCAGCGGGACAGTAGTGAAGCTGTGGTCATGTTGTTGTCATGTTGTCGATGGACAGAACACTGAAGGTTTGGTTTGCTGACTCTTCGTCTTCGCTCTGACTCTCTTTGCCAAACTGACGCGACCTCACCTCTGAGCCTTAACACTGCCATCTCACCTGATGCGATACGTCAGCTGTTCGTTTTTCTGAATACAAATAAAGTGTGAGAGTCTTGTTCTTGATGTAGCTGTGAGTTTCTGTGCTGCTGCAAAGACCTGATGGTTCTGGTTCTGGTTCTGGACTGAGACGGATCCTGGCCCTGTTTGTTTTCTGATAGCAGGTTTATCAGTCCACGCTTCATCTGTCTGTTAATGTTTCTGTGACGGAGCTTCAGAGCCGCACTGAGGGAAGAAACTCATCTGAAAGTCTGAGAAGAAAGTGACAATATTTAAAGAAAAAAGTTGTAATTTTACAAGAATCAAAAATGTAAAAATTCAAGAGAAAAAACTATTTTTAGGAATATTGATATATAATATAAAGATACGCTCAACCAATCAAACAGGTGAAAGGAGTGACATGATGATGATGAAGATGGTGATGAAGATGATGGTGAAGATGAAGATGGTGATGATGATGAAGATGATGAAGATCATGATGAAGATGATGAAGATAAAGATCTCTTCCTCAGCGTTGCCCTAAAGGTGAAAGGTCATGGCTTACTCACAGTAATAGTAAAGTAAGAGTAAACGTTTTCCTGTGTTTCATTTTAAAAGGGGAGGGGCCAAACATCTTACTTGGTGATAATAACAACAATGTATGATAAAACTAATCGAAGAGCATCTTTAGGTCGCCAGGTGAGTCAGCTCTCAGGTGAGAACAGAACCCGAATCAACCAGTTCACTCCAGTCATTACCTGAGCTGTGTGACATTATACAGCTGCTTCTGGACGCCGTGAGCGTCGCCATGCAGCAGCTGCTCTGTGCTGATCAGTGACCACGCCCTCCATTATCAATGATCAATACTGACCCTGAAAACCTCCAGGGTGGACCCCTGACCAGGTGTGTGTGTGTGTGTGTGTGTCTGTGTGTCTGTCTGTGTGTGTGTGTGTGTCTGTCTGTGTGTGTGTGTGTGTGTTTGTGTGTGTGTGTGTATCTGTGTGTATCTGTGTGTGTGTGTGTCTGTGTGTGTCTGTGTGTCTGTGTGTGTGTGTCTGTGTGTGTGTGTGTGTGTGTGTGTGTGTGTGTCTGTGTGTGTGTGTGTGTGT